GTTAAGGATACACTTGTACTGTATTTTGCCCTATGTCTTTCTTGATTGAGATGTAGAAACATAACATTTGGGGCCACTTACAATTTTTGCATAGCTCAAAGCACTGGGTAATAATGGACACTTTTGTATCATAGAAAAAGCTGGGTTTCTTAGAGCTAACTTGTAAGTCTACAGTTCTTAAATCTTTTAAAAATTATTTTACTGAGTCCTTAAAATTTCATTTTTATCTTATTCTGACTCACTTGTCTTAATATTTTATATTCCTAAAATTCTTTTAAGTTAAAATTCTTTTAAGTTAAAATTCTTAATATTCTTTTAAATTAAAATTCACAAAGAATTATTCATTTTAATTCAACCTGTCTAATTTATAAGTTGTAATTATATTTGCTTCACTATTTGCTTTGTGCTGATTAATGATGAATAAAGATTGACAACACTGATAAAGCTTTCCTCCTAAGTTCAGGATTCCTCCAAACCAGGGGTGGGTTTCAACCGGTTTGCGGCGGTCCGCGCGAACCGGTTGGTCGGCGAACCTGGAAGTAAGTAACTTCTGGGAACGGCGAAGGGCCCGCCTGCCCGCCCGTGCTCCTTACCCGTTTTTGATGAGTTCTGCGCTTCCACGCATGCGCAGGACGCATACAGCGCCTGCGCGATCCTCCAGGAGCAGCTGGAACATTGCACAGACGCTAGTACGCATGCATGCACTGCGCGCGTGCATGAGGACGCCGCTGGCCCCATTCCAACCGAATCGGTTGGAACGGGGCGAGAAACCCACCCCTGCTCCAAACCCAACATGAATTGAAAAACTTAAACCACAGGTGGGGGATTGTCTATTCATCATATAGCAACTTTAGTGTTCTTGTGATTCATCATAGGATTAACCAAACAAAAATTGTATGGATTTTACACTTTTCCAATAGATAGTTTCAGGATGAAAGTTCCATGGGTTTTCAAATATTTCTGTTAACATTTTGATTGTTAACTACATTAATAATCGTTGATGTGGGATAAATGATTTTTGAAATCAAGATAATTTTATTTTTCTCCATGTACCCAGAAAAATGATCAAGCATTTCCCTTGACTGCGAAAGTATTTTTTCATACCAACCATTGTTTCTTTGATGTTTACACTATAAAGAATCTGAGTTATTTTGTTTACCTTTAGTTAAAAGTGTTTTAAATTGCTGCACTGCTTTGTTAACATCAACTTGGAAGAATTCCCATAATTTTATCTTGGGAAAAATATCGTCCCAAAAGATTTTACGGATACACTGGAAGAATAAGAACCATGTCAAGTCAGCAAATAAACAAAAATTAGCATTTCAAACACTATTCAATATAAATATATTTGTTTCGAAAATGAAATATCATTCCTTTATGACATGACTCTGTAAACCTTTCAAAAGAAAACAAAGAACTAAAAAGTATTTTTTTATTATTTTAAAAGCAAATTAATGTCAACAGAACTATAGTGGATATGTTACTAAATATCAGTGATGGCTAACCATTTTGGCACTGAGTGCTGAAATTGGAGAGCGCATGCCGGAGCGCTGGAACACCAAAACCCAGAAGAGAGTAGCTGGCCGATGTGCTTGCGCACAGTGGCCATCTGCTGTTCCGGGTTCTGTCATGTGCATGCATGCCGGCCAGCCGGTTTGGTGCGCATGTGTACAGGCTGCTCTCTTCTGGGTTCAAAGGGTTCACGCTGGCCAACTGGCCAGCACGCATGCGCGCACTGGAACCTGGAAGAGCAGATGCCTGCAATGCGCATGCACCCCGGACCAGCTGGCTGGCGTGCATGCGCACATCAGAACCCAAAAGAACAGCTGGTGACAGTGCACGTGCCCACAGAGACGGCTCTGCATGTCACCTCTGGCACACATGCCATAGGTTTGCCATCACGTCTATGTACGATGCCTTTTTTTTGCCATCTACAAAATAACAATAAATAATTCATGGTAAGCAGATTGTAATGAAACAAAATACTTGTTTTCAGAAAACATGCTGAAGTGTAATTTTAAAAGCACAGGAGAACTATTTAAAAATATGACAGAAACCAACACACAAACAATGCATTAAAAATATCCTGGAAGAAACAACTTCAAAGATGAAAAATGAGACAAGGCTGGAAGCAAAATTTAAAATTCCAGAACGGGGCTACAATAAAGTAGGCATAATCATTGCTTTCATTCACGGATGACATGCACTATCAATAATTTTTCTATTTTCTTACATTCAAATGTTGGTCATTTTCAATAAGTGGCGGCAGTCCTTTGTCACTGTATTTGCCCGCAGCCATTTTGCAGGTGAAATGCCAAAGTGCTCGGTCCAAAAGCCAGGCTGGTTTCAAGTGAGGGGAGTTTATAAGGTTGTACCCGCACTCGGGATGCTGAGTCACCCATTCACTGTTTGAAGCTTAGAGAAACAAGAAATGAACAACTAATAGCACACCTTGCTGGAAAGTTTTAGGCACCTTACCAAGGTGACTTATATTTTCTTTAAAAAAAAAACAAAAGTAAAGGACAAAGCTGAATAAGGAGCAAATCCGAAAGAAGTTCATAAGGATAAAAAAAATATATTTTTATGTTTGTAACTTTGCTTCACCAAGGAAGATTCAAGAGCAAAACCAAGAAAAACTCTGTAACAACCAATTTCTAATAAAATTTCTAAAATCAAACGTATGTGTAAATTTATTTTTAAAAAGCCGTTCAACCTCCATGTTTTTTTACATGAATGTGAAAGGCTGTGTACATTTAAGTCATACCATTTACATCGTAAAAATTAAATAAAGACAAAAGTTGAGTTTTTGGAAAATAAAATTGGCTTTTTGAAATAAAGGACTGTTCTATAGATTTGAAATTAACTACGAGTAGTTCAGTAGTGGGATTCAAATTTTTTACTACCTGTACTGTGGGCGTGGCTTGGTGGGCGTGGCTTGGCTTGGCATGGCTTGGTGGGCGTGGCAGGGGAAGGATACTGTAAAATCTCCATTCCCTCCTCACTCCAGAGGAAGGCTATTGCAAAATCCCCAATCCCTCCCGATCAGCTAAGACTCGGGAGGCAGAGAATAGACGGGGGTGGGGCCAGTCAGAGGTGGTATTTACTCAAATAATCTCCAAATTATTTTGGTGAGGCAGTGAATATCTGGCTCAGCCTTAGAAGGCACAGTACGCCTGGGTGGTCCCATCCACTACCTTTGCCAACAACCCAATGGTGGGATTCAAACTTTTTTGCTACCGGTTCTGTGGGTGTGGCTTGGTGGGCATGGCATGGCTTGGTGGGCGTGGCAGGGGAAAGATACTGTGTAAAATCTCCATTCTCTCCCCACTCCAGGGGAAGGATACTGTAAAATCTCTATTCCCTCCTGATCAGCTGAGACTCAGGAGTCAGACAATAGATGGGGCCAGTCAGAGGTGGTATTTACCGGTTCTCTGAACTACTCAAAATTTCCGCTACCGGTTCTCCAGAACTGATCAGACCTGCTGAATGCCACCTCTGGAGTGGTCTTCAACTTATGATCACAATTGAGACGAGAATTTCCACTGCTTAGGGAAGACAGTTGTTAAGTGAGTTCTGTCCGATTTTACATCCTTTTTTTGTGAGGGTAGTTAAGTGAATTATATAATTGTTAAGCAAATCTGACTTTCCTCACTGACTTTGCTT